CAGGTCCTGAAAAATACAGGTCCAGGGTTACCGCCGATAAACAAATATGCTGAAATTTTATCCAGCCTTTTAACAAAATATTGCAGATGATTTAAACACAGACCAACCATAGGAAAATATATATATTTTTGCCTGGTTATGTTTAATAAAATTTTGCTGAAATGTTAACATATGATTTTAAAATGCACATTTCCACAAAATTTAGGGGGGGAAAAAGAGTTTTAAGATGCAGCTATATATTTCACTAATTTGCAGTATGCATCCATTTTTCCAGAATGGGCTTTCCTTAATTCTCTGGGTTTTATCAAAAGGAAAAAGCCCATGATATTTGCCTGTTGAATATCTTTAAAGTCACTGGAGTTAATGTCAGAAAAAAGGTGGATTGGGTCCTACCAGTTAGTGTTACTTCTGAAGCACTGCTCAAATTTATAGAAGATAAAAATCTATAAAAGATTTATAGAAGATAAAAATACAAACTATAGGAACAATGCAGAGATATACTTGCTATTTTCTGTTTTATGAGTGACAAAGTATCCCTGAATGGCAAAGACAAGTACTTAAATTATATTTCAACAACTCTACCTACATTGTCCAGAAATTCTTGATATCTTGAACAGATAAAAATGATTTATGGTTACAATGATAAAAATAATGTGCATTGTTAATGGCAATCAGCAAAGAAAGAAAATATTCAGACACATCACTTTTCCCTCAGTCTTAGGCTATGCTTAATTTAATTATTTTGCACTATGTGATCAATTAATGTAGTGACTGCAGCACAGCACATCAACCCTCAGGAACTCTGTGCAGCCACCGAGGAAGTACAGGCTCTGCAGTGGATGGTAAATGTTCCTTTGTGCTGAAGGTCCAGGGGCAGCTTGTCAGAGGCAGTTCCAAACACTCACTGTGCACAGATACGAGTCTTTCTAAACCCTGTATTCAAAACAGTTTCACTGATGCTGAATCACTTGTTAACAGTCTTTACCTTTCTGCCTAATGAACACTAATGCCAGGCGCCATTGGTACACAGAAGCATTTTACAACTGTGCTATCAATAATTGTGTAATCATGTAATCATGAAAATGGGGAATGGGCTAGAAGCTGGCAAGTTCCTGGGTATGGCATATTTGATCAGTTCTGTGAAGTGGTTATTTAAAAAATATTCTCACATTCTCTTTTTTAAACTGCTATTTAGCTGTACTTGTGGAATTAATTTACATCTTCAGTCCAAAGGATTTATGTCTCTGTATTGTTCATAAACTACTAAGATGCAGTCACCTACAGCTTGCTTGCAAAGTAAAGCAGGGGAAAAGGATATACTCCTGCTACTGCCAGTATTTTTTGGATTTTTTTCCTGTTATTAATAGTTTACCTTCTTTTCACAGCTTTGTATGTGTTAAAAAAAAAAACAAACCAACCCAATCATTGCAGTCCTGGAAGGACATTTATATTCTAGATTAAGGTCTGACTCTGCTATTAAAATGCATTTTAAGTTGTACAAACTGACCCCTCGCTCTTTCCCTGTGATACTTCTCACAAGGAGAACAAAGGGGAAAAAAATATTGAGCTTTTCTTACAAATGTGGCTGAGGAGATTCTTCAGGGAAAAGGAAAGTGCTATTTATTCTGCTTCCTACAAGGGCAGTGATTTCCACTTGTCTATCTGTGCTGGAGAAAAAAAGACTAAGGAAATATCGGATGTGCTTATGCCTATTAAAAGAAGTTATTTCAAAGATGGCAAAAAATTGGAATTGCTGAGATTCTTATAATGAAAAGGAATGTAGAGAGTTTGAGCTTATGGTGCCTGTTATACCTGGGTCATTTACTTGCCTGATGTACTTTGTACGCTACGAACACTAATCTACAGATGTCAACACACTGTAAACAAGGCTGGAGGAAGACCATGGGGAGACAAGTTTTTAAGCTTTTAATAGTAAAGCTTTGAAAACTGTAAAATACTTCGATAAAAAACAAAACAAACAAACGAACAAACAACCCCCACCCCCAAAACTAAAAAAATACCCCAAAAATTTTTAAAAACCAACCCAAGGGGTTTGATTGTTTCTCTTTAACTCCAGCCCATGCTCCGTCGCTTCAGTGAATTCCGAGCGGAGAGCGAAGAGCAGGAATCGCGGGCAGTTTGGAGGCTGCGATCGGTGAAGATTAACCCGCAGTGTCCTTCTTCCCGCTGAGGAAAACCACAGCGCGCTGAGCAGCCCAAGGAGCAGCGGCGCGGCAGAGCCGAGCCCCGCGCAGGATGCGGCCGCCGCTCGGCCCGCGCTGCGCCGCCGCGCCGCTGGGGGGAGTCGGGGCGCTTCCGAACGGGCCGCGCCGGCGGCGGGAGCGGCCCGGGCCCGGCACGGCACGGGAAGGGACGGGACGGGACGGACGCGGCGCTGGCCGCCGTCACCTCAGCCACGCCGGCGGGCGGGAGCTACGGGAGGAGGCTCCGCTCCCAGCCCGCTCGCGGGGGCCGCTCACCTGCCCGCTCCGCTCCCTCCCCGCACCCGCGGGCTTTTGGCGGCAGAACGCCGGCCCGGCGCCCATCATCCCCGCCGCCGGTGTCGGGGTGTTGGCGGCGGCGAGTGGCGGAGCGGAGCCCCCTCCGCGGCTGCGGAAGGTCCGCCCGCGCCCCGCCGGGTCCCGCTGTGCCGCGCTGTGCGGGGCCGGCGTTGCCGCGCGTCGCCCGGGGCGTGGGTGCCGAGCCCCGCCGCGGGGGAACGCGGGGAAGGAGTTTGCTGCTTCGATGGAATTTATCGGCACACTGTTTTTCGTGGCAGGCGGAAACTCGTCCACACGCGGGTTCCGCGCAATGCCTGTCGCAGCATCCGGCAACGAAATGGTTACCTTTAGCAGTAAGGCTGCACAGGAACCACTCCGAGTTCTTAGTAATTCAATTAGTCAGGTTTCCAGAAGGTGGGGTTGGGTATTTTTTTGGCATGGAGGAGGAGAAGCCCGGGACGACGCCTCCCTTCTCGTGTTGCAAGCCAATCAGCTCGAGGTGTAAAAAAAAAAAAAAAAAAAAAAAAAAAAGAAAAAAAAAGAAAAAAAAAAAAAGAAAAAAAAAAGGGAATCTGTAAGCAAACAGCAGGCTATGTCCTGACTGGCTGCGGCGGCAAATCCCCCCCTTTCCAAAGTAAACTGCATGTAAAAATCCCACATGATCAAGCAGCATCGCCCGTGTTTCGAGCTGGCTGCTTGCACCTCCTCCTCGTCTTCATCCCTCACGCACACCGGCGCCGGATCGGACCCTCGCGTGTGCATGTATGTATGGGTGCTCTGTGTGTGTGTGCGTGTGTGTGTCCGTGTGTGTGTGTATGTGTGTGTGTGTGCGTGTGTGTGTGTGCGTACCTCGCTATACCGCGTACACATCTCTGCGGCTGCCTGTCGCACACACGCATGCACAGAGGCAGCTCAGCACGCCAGGCTCCTAGCTTTTCCAGGTTGCTGATGTCGGATTTACACGCAGTGAAGGAACCGGTCATTGCAAAAGGGGGCGTGACTGTTTAAAGATTTTTTTCCTCCCATAAAGCATTTTTTTTTTCAAAACTGACTTTTGCCCCTCCAATCCTCGTCGCTCTTTACGATCCCTCCCTGCCTGCCGCTGCATTCAAGTTTATTTATTTGCCTGCTGGCGTGGTATATTTTTCCTTGCTGCTCTTGCTGCTGCTTCAGAGGGAAAAGGGGAGCAGCTTTTGGGCAAGACCGAGAAGATCTGGGGTGGTTGGTTTTTTCGATCTCCCTGTGTAGTCATCGGAGGGGTGGATTCTTTTACTCTCACCTCCTCCCTGACCCTTCAAACTGTTTTGTTCTTCCGCAGAAGTTGATGTGCACGGGACTGGACCCTGCTTTATCTCAGAGAGGCTCCGGGAGGCTGAATCAGGAGATTTCTGCACCTCGCCGTATCACTCCATTCGTTTCCCGAGCAGGAGAGGCCAGCCAAGACCAGCATCATCAGAGGAGTTTGCAGGCTTGATTTTGCACTTCTCCGAGACCGAGATTTTGCTTTTCTCCACGCCCTCTCATAAAACAATTTTTTTTTTACTTTCATCTCCTTGGTTTCCACGCCGCTATATTTCTTGGATTGGCCGTTCTTTTTTTTTTTTCCTGCCCCCCGCCTTTTTTTTTTTTTTTTTTTTTTTCCTTTGCTGTTGCTCAGTCCTTGGTGCATCCACCGCCCAGGAACAGGAAGGACAAGAAAACCACTCCACAAAGTCTCCTTCAAGACACTCCGTGCTGCAGAACAGGCTTCTCAACTCCATCAGCGCAGCAAGCAAACTCCTCAGGGCTTTTGCTTCTTTCCCCCTCTTCCCCTCCCCCCCTCCCTTTTTTCCCCCCCTGTTTTTGTTTGTTGCTCATTTGAGGGGAGCGGAGGGACAGAAAGGAAGACACAAACTTTGTGCTTTGACATTTGCGGGTACTTCTCCTCCCGCTACCAGCCGGCAGCCTTTAATATATTGCCCGGACCCCCCGTGGACTTCCAGGGGAAAGATCTCCTTCTCCTGCTCCTCCCCGCTTTTCTCCCTCGTCTCCCGCTCGTTCGCTTCTTCCATCCCCGTGCACTCCGGCCGTCAGCGCGGCTGGGGCCGCTCGCAGGGGGCGGAGGAATCGCTGCTCTCGCCCGCCCGCCGCGCCGGCGGGCCGGTGTATGTCGCGCCGTGGGCTCCGTGCGGAACTCCCGGTGAATGAGAACCGCTCGCCGCTTGCCGCCGCCACCCGTCTCGGCCCCCACCACCCCTTGCCGGGGTGAGGCTTCCTGAGGGGCCGCGGATCGCCCTCCCCGCCTGCTGCTCGTCTGCGGCGCTAAGCGCCCTCCGCTCGTTGCGGCGCGGCGCCCACCGCCTCCGCGCTTCGCTTTTTATTCATTCACCCCAGAGCTCCCGCGCCCCGGCTCGGTTCCTCCTGCCTTCTTCCCCGTTCCTATTTTTCTTTTTTTTTCCCTTTTTCCCTTTTCTTTATTTTTCCCCGCATCCCGCCTCGCCGCGCCACCGGCCGGGCGCGATGCCGCACGTGGAGATGCTGCTGCTGGCGGCCGCGGCGCTGTGGGTGTGCGTGCGCGGGCAGGAGCCCGGCGCCAAGGCGGTGGCCGACCGCTACGCCGTGTACTGGAACAGCTCCAACCCCAGGTACGCGGGGCGGCCGCGGGCGCGCACCGGGCAGGGGATCGGCGGGCGGGCGCGCAGCGGCGCTCCGGCGCCGGAGACCTATGTCGAGAGACCGGCTGCGAGAAAGAGACGAAAACTTTTCTTTTAGGGAGGTTCAGGGCTGCAGCCAGCGATGAATGCGGGCGGGTGGCGGGGCTGATTTTCTCCTCTCCTCTATCCCTTCCCTTCAAGGCTTCACCGGGATCGGCCGCCGCCGGCCCGCAGGAGCCGGATGGATGCGCCCCCGGCGGGGGACATGGGCGCCCCTCGCCGCGGGGCAGCCCTGTCTGCTGCCAACCCTGCTCCGGGAGCGCGGGAGTGATGAGGGGCGCAGGTAGCGGTCCCCCGGTGGTGCCCCGAAGGGTTCCTTTGGCAGGCGTGGTGGCCGCCGGTAGCAGGGAGCCGGCCCCGGGCAGGGCTCTGCGCCCTCGGCAAGACCTGCACGGCACCCGGGTGAGGTGGTTGTCAGGGACGGCTTTGCCCGGCCGTGCCCTGCGCTGCCCTCCCGGCGGGGCCTCTCCCGGGCGGGCTGGAGGTGAGGAAGCGAGGTAGGTACGCCCTCCCGAGCCGGGGTCTGCTGGTACCGCCGGACACAGGACGGCGCATTGTCGGGGTCCCCGCAGTCGGGGCCGAGTGGTGCTGGCGCAGTCGCCCTGCTCTTCCTGGCACCGGAGGGTTCCTAGCACCAGGCTCTGAGTGCAGTTCAGCTCTGGAAAGGGAGGTTTCATTTAGTTGTATTTTTTTTTTTCCTGGAGGTTTCCCTCATGTTTAGCATCAGAAAATTTCAGTCTTCTTCCAAATGGTATCCATGTATTTAGGTAAAAAGTCATCTGGGTGTTAAATATTTTTGCCTTGTCAAAGTGCCCGTGGCAGGCTTACCTTTTGTTTTTTTTTAATTTTTTTCTTTTTTTTTTTTTGGTTGTTGTTTTTTTTGTTGTTGTTGTTTTTGTTTTTGTTTTTGTTTTTTTTTGTAAACCTGTCAGGCTAGTCTAAGTAAATTTGTGGACGTTTTATCTTACGTTATCTCTTTTTTATGCTTCTGATACTGCTGTTTGGCTTGAGATTAGCACATTGATTTTTGTCACAGGTCATGTTTTTTAATAGATCTCTGTTGCCTGCAGAAAACTCCACTGCTCGGTATTCCAGAGTAGATTTAAAATAGGTGATGCAAAAGTTAACGAGCAGAATTTTCAAGTGCCCAGGGTTAGCTAGTCTGTCCAGCACTTTATTACTGTGCTCCTGATCTCAGCGTCTCAGCAATAAATAATTGGCCCAAAAACTTGAAACAGAAACAATCATGTTTGGGTATGATGAACATCTGTGATTTGAAATGCCTCTCTCTACATTTTCCTCTTTCTACATGTGTTGCTTGAAAAAAACTGCTCAGAGTAAATAAGATGAAAAGTTGCACCTCACATAATCCATCAGAGAACATATGTTCCCAAAAATTACTTGCCTCTCAAAATCAGAATTTTTATTTCTGTTGTTATGCAAAATGAAATGTAACTGCTAGGGAAAAAAAAAAGAAGTTATATGCTCAAGTCCCACTGGGTGAAAGGAGGATCATTGAGAGAAATAGGTGTGACTAAATGCATACATTGCTAGCATAACAGTTAAAACACTTCAAAAATAGCCTTAGATTCAAGATTTTTCATTTCTGTTGTCTTATGTGTGATGATCTTAACTGTGCGTAGGTGAAGATAGTTGAAGGTACAAACAAATGCTTACCTAGTCGATGGGCATTGCACTGAATTATATTTACAAGGATTCAAGTAAATTAAATCATATATTAATACTATACTACTCTTATTAATCCAACATCAAACATCAGCACACTGCAAAGAAAACTTAGTTTTGTTATTCTTCCAAACAGTAGAGGAAGAGTTAAATTTAAGATGTTTCTAAATCTTCTGCTTTAAAACCAAACATTTCTTGTCTTAGAATACTGCCCTCTCACAATGGATGTATCTATTTGGACATGCCATGTGTATTTGTGAGTTAAAATAAGAGTAAGAGCAGGGTGCAGATGCAACTCTCCTTTGTTTTATACAGCATGCCAGTTTGTGTGTGCTTACTAAGTAACACGAGCATTACAGAAAAACAGGCAAACACCTGAATGGTAGGTGGGAGAGACCCAAAGAAAAGAAAGCACTTCTCTTTTGAATTTGTTTCATCAGAACCTGAGCTGGAGACAAAATTGTCTTTGGATATCAAAATATTTAGAGCATTTAACAATGTTGCAGGAATAACTTTGCAGTGATTTATCTTCATCTAGAGGCAGACTCAGGAGATGAATGCATGTAGAATAAGTAGAGATGCTTACTTGGTGATAGCTATTTGAAATTAGAGGACAAAATATACTGTCATTCTATAAACACAAATAGTAACATTGTGATTTAGCTTAGTTCTTTATCGTATTTATTTAGAATTAACAAGCTGCCATAGGACTAATTAATTTCTTTAAAACATTGAAATATTGATCATCTTAATAATGATTAAGGGACTCTAAATTAAGATTAAATTAAAACTTTGAAGAATTTGATAATGATTGTCCTTCTCTCAGATTTGATGGTTTAATTTTTATTAGTATTAGACTACAGCAACTTGCTGAAATATGTAAAAATTTTATTCTCAGTGAAAGAGACATTAGCAAATTGTTGAATGACCCAGCTGATAAATGCTCCTAGTGTGAACAATGTTTGGTAAATAAAAAATCGTGTGAGTCTATTAGAAAAATTCATATTACATTGCTTGGTTAGTTGTCAAAGTTCTGCTAGAACAATTAGAAAGTGTATGGTCATTATTGTCTGCATGTATGAGTAACAAAGTTTTTTATTTTTACAAAGTCAAAGTCAGTTTTTGGAAATGTTTAAAGTATTACCATGCCTTACTTTTCTTTCATATTTAATTATCAGCATGCACCTTCTATAAATGCTGTAGTCCAGTTCCTGGTGAAAATATGCTTAGGTATTAAAATTTTGAGGTATAAATAAAATAACTTTTTTTTAGTCTTTTTTTTATTTTTCCTTTTTTTTTTGGATTGGAAATGAATCCTCAAGTAAGCTCAAAAATGTGATTTTTTTTCTTTGTTTATTTATGTAGGCTTAGAATTACACGAACACAAATTCTAACTGTCACCTTAAAGTGCATTAGTCTTTCAGCACTCTTTGCATATATGTTTTCTCATGTGGGACTGCAAACTATTATCATCAGGGAATATTATTCTCAATATAATGCTCAGTTTTGTAATGGAGCATATTAATTTAATCTTGATTGGTAGTGTCCTTTTAATTAGAATTCAGACCGAATGTAGTGTACCAGGGCCAAAATTTGAAGCGGTCTACCTGCGTCATGCCTGCTACTGTTTGTAATCTTGTCGCAGTTCAAGCTGAACTACTTGTTTTAATTGTTGATACATTTTTTTGCTTGCCAGGATTATGATTTAAGATTGTGGCTTCTATTTAGATATTTCCATGTAAGTTGTTTCAATGTCAGGTTATGTAGCTTCATAAATTGTTAGTTCGTTTCAGGGTGGTTAAAAATACTTGAATTGCAGGTCTAGTTTCTGGTCTTACATAGAGGCCATAGCTTCTAGTCTCACAAAAGCAAATATTTTTTTATTAGGAGTATTACTGGATTTGGCTGCATTTTATACAAGAAAATTGTCCACCAAATCCATAGAATAATTATTATAAAGACATAGGATGCTGATATATTTTCTCTTTGTGTATTTATGTGGATAAAATCAGGAAATCAGATGGTAAATAGAGAATTTAGGTATTGAAAAGTAATTTTAACTTCAGTTAGTGATTGCACATAATTAAACGGGATACCACAATTTGGTCAGTAACTAGAGTTTTTTTTTTTTTTTTAAGATACATATTTGGGGGAAAATGAGTGGATACTTCTGAAAATTCTATGCATAGACCAGAATTTCACAACCTGGATTTCTCAGCCTATGTGGATTTTGTAGCTGAGTATTTAGGAACTGTTTCAGAAAAGCATCTTACTTCTTTGAACTCAATCCTTACACACCTAAGTTCTGCTGCAGTTGTGTGGGTGGATAGATGTGTGCTTAAGTGCCGTCCTGGGCCAGCCAAATTCACAGATTTAGTTTTGAGAAGCTCTGGATGTGGCAGCTCACATACACCTGGCACTTCTTGGAGCACACTCATGGGCTGGATGGATGTCTGAGCGTTTTGCCATCTGTTATGTGTTTGTGGATTTCACCGTAGCATGTTAGTTGTATGTGCTGAGGTCATGTGGCTGGTTTTTTGCTTGGTTGGTCTTTTTTTGTTGTTTTCTGTATAGATACAGTTCTGCCTATGTACAGAGTCGAGGGAAGGCATGCAGAAATGGCTGGAATAGGAAGAAAGCAGTTAAACACATGTTAAGAAAACTAGGAAGTTGTGGATGAAGAAGGGTAAAGTCAAAGTGTCTACTTTAATGTTGGTATTATGTGTGAGTTTCATATGTCAAGGGAAGCATAGGAGCCTAAGTACTTGGGGTATACATACACATCCTTGTAAATACATTATACATATATATAAACCTATTTTGAAATAGCACAGCTTGCATTTTTACAGCATTTTATCCAGCAGCTTGCTCTGAGAGCTGAAGAAATCTCTGACTGGTTCCTTGTAATTAAAAGATCAGTAGTAGAGCTGTCAATTCTTTACACCTACTTTCTCTGCTTTTAATAGTTTCATTAACACCTTGTGTCTCCAAAAGAACATTGGTGCTTATTTTAAAAGTGGGTGTTTGAAACAGTTTGAAACCTTCTATGGAAAAACTGCACAAAGAACAATAGTTTCACTGGCCTCCACCCTTGTATGAAAGGCAGCTTGTTAAGTGATACCTGATCTTCATGAAATGCTTCTTATGAAATCTTTTTTGAGTGCATGTAGTCAGGACACTTCATTGCATTCTTCTAGCCCAGTGTGCTTTTTGAGAGGGACAGATAAAGATGAGCCTTCCTTTCT